GTTCTCGTATATAACCTCCCGTTTCCCTACCGGGTATCGCGCAGTCATTATTATCCTCTTTTCATTTATTACTTTCAACTTTATTAATTTCTTCTTTGTAACTTGTAACTTGTAACTTTCTAACTCACGAATTACTCTCAACCTAATTTCCAAGTACAATTATTTCTGGCTTCATGACTTTCTACCTTACCAGTTCTTATTTGATAGCTTTTACCTCATTACTGTCTATCGCATTACTGTCTACCTCATTACTTCCCACCTCATTACTTCCCACCTCATTACTTCTCACCTCAGTACTTCCCATCTCATTACTTCCCATCTCATTACTTCCCACCTCATTACTTCCCATCTCATTACTTTCCACCTCATTACTGTTTACCTCATTGCTTCCCACCTCATTAATTCCCACCTCATTACTTCCCACCTCATTACAATTTACCTCATTACTTCCTACCTCATTACTTCCCACCTCATTACTGCTTACCTCATTACTTCCCACCTCATTACTTCCCATCTCATTACTTCCCACCTCATTACTTCCCACCTCATTACTTCCCACCTCATTGCTTCCCATCTCATTAATTCCCACCTCATTACTTCCCACCTCATTACTTCCTACCTCATTGCTTCCCACCTCATTACTTCACACCACATTACTTTCCACCTCATTACTTCCTACCTCATTGCTTCCCACCTCATTACTTCACACCACATTACTTTCCACCTCATTACTTCCTACCTCATTACATCCTACCTCGCTACTTCCCATCTTATTACTGTTTACCTCATTACTTCCCACCTCATTACTTCCCATCTCATTACTTCCCACCTCATTAGTTCCATGGATCTTATATTATTCCCGTCGTTCACGTAGATATACCGCCGAGTATTACAGACGAGATCTTCTCAACGTTTCCCCTAATAAAAAGTACGATTGATCCCTTCTGCGCAAACTGACGACTGTCTCTTCTCCTAATGAGGTTTGCTCAAATGAAGATAAAATTTCTCAGCGGTATAATATCGTGCAAAGATTTTCGCACAAACGAATGTTTAATAAATTTTTGCGTTAAATTTATTTCCTCGGGAGAGACTCAAAATGGTTAAAATTTTCAGCGATAATTTAATGAAAGTAATATAATGATTGCCAAAAGAGAATAAAATCAAATTGTTGCGTCAATTACGTATTGGTAATTCGTGGTTTCGGTCTATTGTTAGCGTATTTTCTCATTTATGGAAAAAATGTACTATTGTGCTCGCCATGTCCGTACGTCCGTCTGTCTGTTTGTCTGTCTGTCTGTCTGTCTGTCCGTCCGTCTGTCCGTGACCTCAAGTTTTCGTCGACGAGAAAATGCGCTTTCTGTCACTCACTACAGTGAGTACTGAGTTATATTTTTTTAATTCATTGTGCATGTGAAGGTTCTAAGCGAAATTCATGAATTGAACCTAAGCCTGAATTCCTTGCTAAAAATGACTCCAAAGCCACTGTCAGTTGAAATATTACTTAAAAAAAATACAGTACTGAATTTGGAGTGAAAAAATAAATTTTTGCTCAGTAGAGCAAAATTTTATACCTAGAAGCTTAAGGTTATTAATATCACAAGGTGAAATATTATTTTGGAAAAATTACCCTGAATTTGGAGTGAAATAAATAAATTTTTGATCAATTATTATTTAGAGCTTTTAGGTTATTAATATCACAAGATGAAATGTTATTTTGGAAAAATTACCCTGAATTTGGAGTGAAAAAATAATTTTTTATGCTCAATTATTACCTAGAACCTTAAGGTTATTAATATCACAAGATGAAATATTATTTCGGAAAAATTACCCTGAATTTGGAGTGAAAAAAATAAATTTTTGCTCAATTATTACTTAGAACCTCAAAGTTATTAATATCACAAGATGAAATATTATTTTGGAAAAATTACCCTGAATTTGGAGTGAAAAAATAAATTTGTTGCTTAATTATTACTTAGAACTTTAAGATTATTAATATCACAAGATGAAATATTATTTTCTAAAAATTGCCCTGAATTTGGAGTGAAAAAAAAAATTTTTTGCTCAATATTACTTAGAACCTTTAGGTTAATAATATCGCAAGATGTTCCGGAAGCATTTCGACTGAGATTAAAACGATCTTACCATTGAAGCAGAGCCTAATTTTGCAGTCGCTTCCGCTCCAGCTCCCGATTACCTCGATCAAGAGAGCTCTAAAGGAGACTTGGGTCCAAGTCTAATTTACTTCTCAGTCATACACTTCAATCGCTTCGTAAATCCGCTCTAAGGAACACTGTTTGCTCTACCAGGGGGAAGCTCCTGAAGGCGATTTCTTTCATTCAATTCGGATTTTGGCATCAATACATATTTTATTATAGACTTCAGTTTGAATTATTGAACTCGTAGACTTGGCGTTGAATTTCTGACCTCATTGCAGATTGTTTAAGCTTTTTTTAATTGTATTCTTAGTCTGATTCTAGACATAATTTCCGAAATTTATGACTGATTTGAATTTAAATTTAACATTGGATTTTTCTTCTTTGTAACCTTCTAAATATACGTACATATTCACTAAAAATAATCTTTGACCGTATTTCTGCATTAATCTATATTTCCATAGATAGTCCGTAACTTAGTTTTTGGACACATTTCCAAGAACTGGCCATATTTCAGCCATCTACAATATTTTCACCAGTAGGCCAAATTTCAGCATTTAACTAAATTATCTGTAATTGGACATTTGCCAGCATTTACCTCCACAACCTGTTATATAAATATGCGTTTAAAGAGAACTTTTTAAAGACAACACTTCTAAAGAATACAGTGTCTCCGATGTTACACGTCTACAACATATTTCTAATTTTGTTTTCATATATTAAGAAAATTATTTTTAATTTTTTTAATGTATAAAAAAAAATTTTAAATGTTATTTATTGTGTCAATTGATTCAAGCTTTGTCTACGACTTTATGCAAGTGTGCAAAATTTCAGATCGATTGGACAGGTGGAATGTGTAGAATATCGATTATAAGATTTGTAGAAGACAAAATTATTTATTCAATTTTTTAAATTATTTTTTTTTTTCAAATGTTTAAAATTGTTTATTCTGTCAATTGATTCATGAATTGTCTCCGACTTTTCGCAAGTGTGCAAAATATCGGATCGATTGGAGAGGTAGAAGTGTGTTAAATATCAATTATATGATTTGTAGCAGACAAACAAGCAACAAGAAGTGAAGTTAAAGAGAAGTGTTGTAAAGATGATAATAGCCTCATATATTTACTAGGTGTATATGTATTAAACAAAAAGTTTACTAAAATATCATACTGCCATGATCACAAAACTTGCACAAGAAGGTTTATTTTTAGCAAAGTGATTCTTAGGTCTCACGTTGTTATGTGGTTATTTTTCTTTCCTATTTTATTTAGCACGTTTGTAATGCTGCGTTCCTCCTTATCCTACGAATTATCCACTATCATCAATTTACACTAGCCTTAGCATTCAAGTATTGAATTTATATTTTAATTACTAGATTATTTTGTCTACTAATGTGTTACTGTGTCTACTATTACTAGAGCTAAATCTTCACGGCTCCTGCTTTAGCATTCAAGTATTGAATTTATGTTTTAATTCTTAGATTATTTTGTCTACTAGTCTGTAGACAGTATCTACTAGAGCTAAGTGAGCTCTATTACTGCCGCTTCCATCCCTTGCCCTGCCATAGGATTTTTCATAGGATTTTCTTCTCATGTCGCTCTTTCTTGCCATAGGATAGGAACGACATGAGCCATAGGATTTCTTTGCCCTGCTCATAAGATTTTCTGCCATAGGATTTTCTTTTAACACTGTCTCTACGATGTCGCTCGTCTCTGCCGTGCCAACACGGCGATGCCGTTATCTACAGAGCTTTATCAAGAAGATCACTTCGCATTGTCTCTCAAATATTTTTTTAAAGTTAATACACGAGGAGCAGTCATCAAACCCCGGGACAATGTTTATCTTTGGCCTCATCTCTGGCCTCACGCCTGGCCTGACTTTGATAGTACGGAACGACAGGATTCATGTGTTCCTACCTTTAAATTTGAGCTCAATTTGGATTTAAAATAGATCGCTATTTATGTGCATGATTGTTCCAGAAGAGGTTTTGCCCAGTACCGCCTGGAAATTATCGCGAGTGATGAAACAGTGAGACGAAAAAATTGAAGAATTATTTCGAAATTATTGAGGAGCATTTAGATATTAGCGTAAACCAGATTTTAGATAAATTCACTTCATTTAAACGTATGAAGATAGCCCAAGCACCTGATGATGAATAAGACTGAAGATCCCTTTTGTTTGAGGTCACTATAGAGTGATGAGATAATTATTTTGAAACGTTTTTACTGAAATAAAGTAGTAATGAGGTTCACCAATATCTACAAGCTTAAACTGCTTATTATTCATTCATCTCAACAGACACAAACAATAGAATGTTTTAAATAAGTTCGCGAAGCTTGAATCAAATTTTGCTTACACGTATAATTATAATATCAAAGTCTCTGCGAAAAAATGTTTAAATACTTACCATGAACCGCTCTCTTCGATTTTTTTGTTTCACTGTCGGAAACTGTGCACATTGACTTTTTGGTTGATATTTGTATCATGGTTACAAGCCTTGCTTATCCAATTCATGCCTATGTGGACGACTACGATTTGCGAATTGAATTTACACTAGCATCTGATGCATTCGCGTTCGTCGTGAGGGGACTGCAATTCGTTGTAGGAAGACAAGGAGACAAACAATATTTTCATTTCGAGATTATTGATTTTTAGAAACTAGGTCACATACTTACTTGAAATTTGCTTAATTTTATAACACAATGCTTTGAAATCAAGTTTCAGCTTAAGCTTATTTTTATGGATGTCTCAATAAAGTTGCCCGAATTAGTTACACTGTATTCTGTATACGGCGATTGAAGCCATGACCTAGAATTAAGCATAAAATGCAAAAGAGCCCATCCCATGTGTCTAAAAGGTCAAATTGGATTTTGTGGCGGAATCTTTTCGCCTTAATCGCCAGAAATCATGAGCACCATGAGCTGCCTCCAAGTTCTCTGCTCGGAACTTGAAATTCCATCGTCATCGCTTAAGCTATGTAATCGCCTAGGATCCGGGTCTCACGGTCAAACCTTCGTCGTGCAGTACAATGGCCAGCTATACTGTGCTAAAATCTACAAAGAAATATTAAATATGGCTCAGGAAGTCAAGATGCTGAAAGCCACAGAAAGCTGTTCGTACAGTCCCAATCTGATTGGAATCTGCTCAAGTCTCATGCTCGTAGTCATGGATTTGGCTCCTGGACAAACCCTGCAGTCTCTTCTTAGGTCCCGCCCATGTAAGCTCTACATTCACAGGGTAATGCTCGCCTTATGTCAGGCAATTGAGAGCCTGCATGCGTGTCAAGTGATCCACAACGATCTCAAGTTCGACAACATCATGGTTTCGGAAGACAACTGGGATCCACGTATTACGTTGATTGATTTCGGCTTTGCGACGTTCAGACACAACTCTCCGTACGCTCACATCTCGCCCGAAGTCATGGCGAGCTACCGGCACGTGAGCCCAAAACTGGCGTCTGGAGGCAAGTGCGATTACAACACGGATAACTATTCCTTCGGAGTCCTGCTGCGCGCCGTCTCATCCGACACCAAGTGCCCGCTTTTTTCCGTGCTTGCCGACATTCTTACAAAGAAGAAAGGGGTCATGTATAGCCTAGTGAAACTGCATGCGTACATGAAAGAAAACAACTGCGACAGTTGCAGGGAGTCGTGCTGGTGCGCACAGTGCATCTCTGGAGGCGTGATGTGTTAAAAGAGTTTCGAGACAAAATATTATGGTGTAGAGACGCCAATTGTGCCAGTTCATCGGGGCATTTAATCCAACATGTAACGCACGAAATTTCTCAAGCTGAAAGAAAAATTGAAAATGAAAAAAGACAGGGATAATGAGGCATTCTGAAAATTCTTCGCGTCATTGGAAGTCCCCGGCAGTTTTGTGTATCACTTCGGCTTAAAATCTTATCCTTTGTCATTTAAATTGATTTAAAATCACCAAATTTCACTAGGCGTGTTGCCACGCTAATATCCAGCTCTCAGTTTGACATCGTTGAAGGAATATCGCTTGGCAAGTTCATCAACGTTATTCAAGGCCTCGAAGGGAATAATGAATTGATAAGAATTTAAGATAGTTTTACATACGCTTCGAATGTTATGGTCAACTTAGTAAAATCAAGTTAAAGGACTTATGGAGAGAAAAAGCCTGGCATCATGATTTTAATAATTTACAGGACGTGAACCGTTTGAAGTTCATTTACATGTCGTTGAAAATATTTACTGTTGAATACGTCCAAGCCTTAAAATTGGATCTTATGGATATAGTGATAAAACATTCAGTTTAATATTTTGATTCTGTAATTATGTTAGATATCAGCATATAAACAATATTGATATTGAAGTTCATTATGCGGTGCACAAATTTATAATTTCTAGCATTTGTCTCCCAGAAACGATTTAACAAGATGCAATTATTTTGGGCCTGTAAAAGTGTATCACCCACTTTACGTTGAATTAACGTCATTATTACGATGAATTAACGTTATTAATTCATATGGTAGATTCAATCGCATTTGTGCAAATTTTTATACAAGGAATGGGACATTTTGCCATCGACGGAACTTTTTTTTAATTGATTTTGCTGATATATAAATCATTTAAAGGCTTTTGCTATGCAGTATATTCTATTAAGTGCACTTTTAATAAGTTTATGTTATATGTATTTGAAATGTCTTCGTTGTATTGAGTTCGAAGTTATTGAAAGATAATGTTATTATTATCCATCTTGGTTCTTCGAAGAGCTTAGGTATTAGCTTGTATGTATTGAACTCGTATCAAACATACATAAGCTGAAGTTAAAATTTTGACTAAATAGACGGCAGCCATATTAAATATGATACGTTATTCCTTCCTTGTAAAAAAAAAACTGGTGACAATATGCCGAACAGCTCTTCGAACATATATATCTTCGATACGTGTCGACTAACATTGATTTAAGTTTCTGTACAAAATGCAAAACACATTTAAAGGAAGAACACTTTTTTATGTTCAGAGAGCTTGTTTATTGTGTTCAAGGCGTATAACGAACACAACTTTGTGTGGTTCAAGAGAGACAAACACTGAAACAGTTTTTGATCTATGTAATGCACAATGTTACCAAGAGCAAAGTAATCGTCACACGGCACTTTATGGCACCTAGAATAAAAAAATCTTCGGCAACTTGAATGCGGCATCAGAATCCTAACTGCTTTGAAGAAGGATATTTCAATACCAAAAGTATTAGGGAAATATTCAGGGCTTTACTATTTCGTTGCTAAATCCGGTCGAATTGTTACTGGTTAATTAAAATAAAAAAGAAGTCCCAACACGTTACTTACTGTAGGCACTCTGGCCTGGGCATAATAAATAGACTTTGTTATTTTCTCCTAATTTTTCTGTTATAGGCAAATATGAGTAATGCCTGTCAAAATTATCGTTTTTCAACCGTCAAAATTATCTTAGATCATTAATTTAGTAGGATTATCGTGCATCACCCATCATATTGATCGTTCATCACCAGCAGGATTATTGTGTGTCACCCATTATATTGATCGTTCATCACTCAGCAGGTCTATCGTGTGTCACCCATCATGTTGATCGTTCATCACTCAGCAGGTCTATTGTGTGTCACCCATCATGTTGATCGTTCATCACTCAGCAGGTCTATTGTGTGTCTCCCATCATGTTGATCATTCATCACCTAGCTGGATTATCGCGGGCACCACCAAGAAGGATTATCGCGCATCATCAATTATTATTATCGTACGTTGCCAGTTGGGTTATCGTGCATCATCAGTTATTATAATCGTACGTACGTTGCCAGTAAGGCTATCGCGCATCATCAATTATTATTATCGTACGTTACCAAGCAGGATTATCGGATATCATCAGTTATTATAATCGTACGTACGTTGCCAGTAAGGCTATCGCGCATCATCAATTATTATTATCGTACGTTGCCAGTCGGTTTATCGTGCATCATCAATCATTATTATCGTACATCGCCATGCAGGGTAATCGTGCATCATTTGTAGGGATGATCAAAGATCCTCAAAGCAATCAGAAGTTTTTACGTGTCCACTTTGCACCGGCAAGTCGATGCCATCTTGCTTTAGTATTCCACGCTGGAGTCTGCGAGGCTATTGGCTCTATTTGTTGCAATGAACGGCAATGATGGCAAGCTGATGGCAAGCCAAACACTATTTTTTACGCCACTATAAAGGATTTTCTATAGTTTACGCCACTATAGAAGAGGTTTTTCTATAGTTTACGCCACTATAGAAGGCACTAGAAGAATGCTTCTATAGTTTACACTTCTATAGTTTACGCCACTATAGAAGGCACTAAAAGAATACGCCACTATAGAAGAGGTTTTTTTCGCTGTTCAGTTTTTCGACTTAGCTCGATGCATCGAAAAGACTTGGCCGACGGCATGAATCATGACGAGATGATGCTATTTCTCTTCTAATTTAAAGCATTGAGTTGGTTGAACAGTTGAGTTTTGAAAGTCTGGTTTGGTTACCTTCAAGTGCTTTGTTTATTAAATTTAACCAAATTTTACCTAAAAAAGGGGGTAATGCTGGGATGATTTCTATCTCATTTAGGTTAGTTCTATCCTTGCAGATTACATTGGCTTACGCTAGAAATAAATTTAATGCATTTCTGTTTATAATGCATTTTGAAATCGTGATTCACAACTAATTTTCAGATGAACAATTTTTGGAAGGTATTCGCATATTATTTTTTCTTAAAAATGTAAACTTTGCGAAAAATTTCCCCTGCAAGCAGAGCTCTCTCTGCGCGCTCAAGGTGGCCTGCCTCCTTGTGCTTCAGCGTGGAAGTAACAGTGTTTCGTTGATAGATACGACGGGTTCCCTACATGATATTTAAATGTTATGGTAAGGAAATATGCGCTGTGGTGTCTTCACAGTAAACTGAGTCCTGAACTTGTGTCTGGTTTCATGGATATTACCTGAAGACGGCAGCTAGTTTATTCAAACGCGTTGGTCTTAACATGGAGTTCTCTCTGAGGTAGCTACTGCCAGCTCAGAACCTAGGTTTGTAGCAGTCTCGTTCGGGATTTTGAATTGATGTAATAAAATATTTTGAAATTTAGAATTAGAAAGATAAGATTTTGGTTATATATGAACGTCACCTCGATGAATACAACAGTAGTTAACTTAATTCCAACTTTTGGTATTAAGATTCATTTCACCGGAATCTCTTATTAGAGTAAGTACCAAGTGTTGCCACTGTAAAATAGTGTTGCCACTGCCAAATAAACCCACATTCAACTCCATGGCAATCATGATTTAATCATATCTCTGGTAGTGGAAAAATTTTCTTAAAAATGTATATTATTTTGAGAAAAATTTTTAGGCCGTTCAGCTATTTTAATTCATGATAATTTTTATCATTATATTTTATCATTATTATATTATTATCATTCAAATTCAAATCAGAAATTTTTAATTGACAACATTTACAAACAAGGATCGTGCTCATAGCAAAGCTTGCATCGAAAACTATTTAAACTTTTAACTTTACCCAAGCGAGAAGAAATAAACAGCCTACCGATACTGTCAATTGCAGACAACGCGGCCTCTGACGTACGACTTCCTCTTTTGTAGATCCAGTTGTGTGGATCCAGTTTGTTTGAAGTGACTTTGTAGAAACAATCAAGCGTAAACTGAATAAAAAATTCTCAGTCATTTTGAACCTCCCACGGATAAGGGATGACCGAAGGTTTGTCACCCTTAACCGAAATATTTAGGTTTCGTTTAAAAATTATTTTGAATTTCTAATTCAAATCAGCAGCCCAAGTGAGAGAATCCCCTTAAGCGAAATTTTAAGGTTTCCTTTAAAAATTATTTCGAATTTTTATTTCAAAGTAGCATCCTAAGTAAGAGAATCGTACTAAAATTTATTCTCATATCGAATTGGACCAGAATGATGTTTAAAGTCTCGAGCTCATATGTCGCCCAATTTCTAAACCAATATCACGCTTTTCATGTCACATATAAGGCCTTCCCAAGTCTCCTAGCATGACGCCAAAGCAGACTTTGTAGTGGCCTTTTGAGGCATAGTCCTTATGAAGTTCTCCGTTGATCGGAACCACGTCTTCTATATTCAGTGCCTGCAAAAGTTTGAGATTGCACTCGCACATGTCAAGCATACGTGAAGAAAAGATGCATATTAAAATTTGTGCAGGAGCCCGAAGGATACTAAGGACAGCATAGCGACCGATGATGCTTTAGAAATTTAGTAAGAGGTGCAAATTAATATCAGGAGCATCTTTTACACATTTCTGGAGTATTCAACGACGAAGAATTTTACTAGTTTAAGTTTTGTAATTTTTCTGTATTATTATCATTTTGTTTAAAACTCACAAGGAATTAGTGAAACTACTTATCGCATGGCGCTGGTTTCACAGTTACGTGTAGCTTCAATCAGAGCTGTAAGGCAGTTGGACATTTGATATAAAGCTGCCGGGCATTCATATCACAATTCATTTAAAAATTTCTTATCATTAAAAATAGAACTGTCGGTGGTCTTTCCCACTAGATTTGCGTGTAAAAGCTAATAATAAAAAAGCTTGTTCAAGAATATTTCTCATAAAATATTTCAGTGCCTAAATATGGATACTGCCAAAAACGAGAAAATATTTTATAGTGCTGAGCTCAAGGTGCTTTAATTAAAAATACCCAGCAGTTCGACACTAATACTTTAGACAATTTATTTTGGTGTATTATAATATCCCCACCTTTAGTGAATAAAAGAGTCTGATTAAGTAACTGTAATACTATATTATTTTAGATTAAAATTGAGGATTTAAATATGACTTATTAAAAAATTGCACTAAATACGTTCAGAATTAGAGAAGGATTATTTACAAAAATTTTTGAGCGAATCTCAAAGCGGCACTACGTAGAATTTGCAGCGTCCAAGAAGATTTAAAAGCTTGCACTCTTATGTACGACGACTATCTAAACATACATACATACACTACACTAAACATACATACATTACATACACTTTAATTCTTGTCTATACAGAATGATTCACATCATTTGTACAGGCTTCATGTAAAAATTAACAGATTAACGCATGAATATCAAAGGTGGTCAATGTTCAGCAACAACAAAAATAACAATTCGATGTTTTATTATTGCTGACGTATAACATTCACTTAAAGCTCCACTTGAGCGTTGCATGTAAGATTTAACTTATGAATATCAAGGTTTACAATGTTCAGTCACAACAAAAACAATTCGATGTTTTATTATTGCTGACGTATAACATTCACTCAAAGCTCCACTTGAACGCTGCGTGTAAGATGTAACTTATGAATATCAAGGTTTACAATGTTCAGTCACAACAAAAACAATTCGATGTTTTATTATTGCTGACGTAAAACATTCACTTAAAGCTCCACTTGAGCGTTGCGTGTAAGATTTAACTTATGAATATCAAGGTTCACAATGTTCAGTCACAACAAAAACAATTCGATGTTTCATTATTGCTGACGTAAAACATTCACTCAAAGCTCCACTTGAACGCTGCGTGTAAGATGTCTTCACACGCGTGTAATTCTCCCTCTAACGGAGAGATTCCCTTGCTGCAGGAGACGCTCTTAAAACTTTCCCTCTAAGT